AAGTAATGTTTCCGATTGGTTTTCCTCTCCATTTTACTGTGATGTATTGGATGAGGATATGTTATGGCTTGTTATGGAATAAAAATAAGTTTGTTGTTTGTGATATTCATCCCTCTTTGGAAGAAAGAAAAACATTGCTTAGTTCTTGCGGGAGTGGTATGCTTACCATTCACTTCTCTATACATTTTTTCTTTGCGTAAAGAAAGGCTACTTTATTTGTCACAATCTAAAACACCGACGCATAAAAGAAAATTTTTTGTTTTTGTATGGAATAGATATGATTCATACATCCTTAACCAGAAGTAGGGGTGTACAAAGGAAACCGACAAACTGCATCAATCCGATAATCCGAGTCAAACCGAGAAAAAAAACCCGACAATGGTTTGGTTTGGTGTTGGAAAAAAAAACCCGACCATAATTGGTTTGGTTTGGTTTTAACTAAAGAAAGTCAAACCGAAACCAAACCAACCTAACATTACATATATAGAAATTTTAGATATATTTAATATATAAATATACTTATTGTGATGTAATTTATAACTATTTCTTAAAAAAAATTCATAATTTTATCTTTTAAGGTATTATTTCAAGGTTGGACTTAGAACTTTTGAATGTTTCAATAAGTTTTATATCCATTAATATTAGTAAATTAAATAATACTAACAAAAGCCCAAACCAAAATTAAATCAATATTAATGCTAACAAAAGACATTCAATTCAATATTACGAACGAGAATGTATTGAATATCTATTTTTTATTTTGCAATAATTTAGATAAAAATGCATAACCTATTTTTATTTTTCTTTAGCGTTTAGTCATGTAATTAATACTCCCTTATTAGTCTATTTATTTTAGCATGAGTTAGTACTTTTAGATTATGTTTATTTTTATTATGATTTTTTAATTAGCAATATTTAAATTAACTAATTTTATTGTCTTTATTGTTGAATATTTTAGGATAACGCCATGACACATCTCATATTTTGTATTATTTTCTTGGAAAATACTTTATATAATTGTATCTTATTAGGATTAAAGAAATATTTTGAGCATACATTATATATTTTGTTCTACGAAGATTTTACCGGGGGAAAAAAACCCGAAAAACCGAGATTGAAAAACACGAGTTTTATTGGTTTGATTTGGTCTTTAGATTTAATAACCCGACACAATTGGTTTGGTTTGGTAATTGTAAAATCCGAACCAAGTCTATGTACACCCCTAACCAAAAGTATCATGTTCGAGTTTTGGGAATGAAAAAAATTCTAATAGGGAGCATTAGAAACGCATGGGAAATAACAACTTAAGAGATACTCTCTCCGTTTCATATTATATGAGGTAGTTTGACTCGGCACGGAGTTTAAGAAAAAAGAAGAAGACTTTTGAAACTTGTGGTCTTAAAAGCTTAAGGGGTAAAAAGTTTGTGGGGCCATGACATTTGTGTGGCTATAAAAGCTTCTCATTAAGGGTAAATAGATAAAATGAAAGAGTTTAAAGTTGAATTATTTCCAAATTTAGAAATGTGCCATTTATTTTGAAACAGACTAAAAAGGAAAGTACCTCATTTAATATAAAACAGAGGGAGTAGTAAACTAAGCAAGTTAAAAAGGGTTTTGGTCATTTTACGTGTTATTATTTAGATGTTGCTTATACATGTCATGTTATTTCACACTGTTTGGCAAAAAAAAATAATCTCAAGTAGTGTATGTTGACGTTGAGCAGCTAACTCTCTTTTCCCTAGACGGGATTGCGGGAGCTTGGAAGAGACTTGGAAATTCACATTAGAAATATATTTGAATGGATGCAGTAGCTGCAAACATTTTGCAACAGAAAACCATAGCTGGCTTTTGAAACAATTTGAATTAGCAAGTCAATAATCTGTGAGAACTTAACTCTACTTAGATTCCATCTGTCCAAACTTCCTTTGTGGTTTCTGTTTTCTTGTTTACGCTGTTTTCTCTGCCTCAAGTGCACACAGCGTGCAAATTTTCTAATATTTCTCACTGAACCTCAAAGATAATAGAGGTAAATGCCTATACACAAGTCTAGTTTTTAAGCCTTCTACTAGTATAGTGATAGACATTCCAGGCATTCAAGCAGACGAAAAGGAGAAATAGGATAACAAATGAAAACAGAGAACAAATCAAATATCTGGAGTGCCTAGAATCACAATCACACCTGTACCCATTAACTCGTCTTCCGCAGTTGTAGCAGAAAAGGGCATCACACCTACATCCAGATGAAAAAGAGAATCAGATTAAAGTAACATACTTGAAAGTTTAAACCATTTCTCCCCATCTTATGGTTTAATATCACAAAAAGAGTTATTTTTTTGAATTCTAAAAAGAGTGCAATATTTTAACAGAGCACAGGTATGACAATGTCAATCAAATTCACACAACACATCTTTCTCAAGGACTGCGTGCCTTTATAAGGCCTCAGAACTGAACAAAATCAGAAGAATGGAAGAAATGCATAGGAGAGTATATTAAATCATGATAAGATCACAAATTTCTGAATCATGAGGTGTTGTCAGGATTAGAATACGAAAACATTAAGCATCTAATAACTCAGGTATGCTAATATCTTATGTCATAAATCTGGTATATTAAAAAATATACTACTAATGAGCAACTTCTTTTCCTCCCATAACATTTATTTGGCTTCATAACCTCTTCTTTTCTTTTTTTGTTTTTTCTTTTATAAGTTATTTTTACCGGTAGATGAAATCTAAACTCGAATATACGGAGGCCAAGCTTGATTATCTCGCATAAAATCCCATGCTCACTGTTCATTGCTGCTAACTTCTCCCAAGTTTTTTTCCCAAAGAAAAGTAAACACGATAAAATAAAAGGATATACTTGTGCGGAAAAGTAAATACAGTTGAAAAGCAAACATTTCAATTGGTAAGGATATAAGTATTCAATTAGAGCCGAATACTTGAATAACTTTTGAAGAAAAGGTCTGTCTACAACTGGAAAATATTAACTGGACCATTAATAAGACTAAATTTGGCAGATCAACATAGTAGATGGTAGATACGTGATCTAGTTTAGGGGATTCAAATGTTATGTTGTCCTCATGCCCAGTTCATCCTTCCTATAACGGTCGATATGATCAACCCCTATCAATGTCAACTGAGAAAAATATAGCAACTGCAATCTCAGATAAGTCGAAGCGGAGAATGCTCGGTATTGTATCGAATTAAGTGGCATTACAGATATATTAGATAATTTTCTTTTCATATTAATTTCCTTACTATGTATAAGATGATTTATCTGCTCATATTAGAGATATACAAGTCCGCCCAGAAAACTATAGACGCTTCCACATAATATCTTGTACCCTTCATATAAGCAGCCTAACATTGTATAACATTTATAATTGCTAGATTTATAGGCCTAAGGTTTTATAGGGCTTTTCAAGCCTTATTTTGAAGCTCGCTAATCAGCAGCATATTAGCAATTTATCCCTGTTTGTGAAAATACGGAAATTCCTGATTCAGATTACCGGTATTGCACCATCTCCAAATCCCATCAAGCACAGGTCTTAAAAGATTTACTAACTAGGTATACAGTGATATACAAGATTACGACCCTTTACCAATGATAGCTAACGATTCTGCTGCCAAACAGAAGCTTTTTGGTCCTCGCTCCATGGAGCCATAGATTGAAGGGGAGGGATCAATATTTCATCCTTTTTTCTTTCTTCTTTTGGTTATGATAGCTAAATGCAAGTCCTCAAAGTCCTGCCTTTCCTGTCCACATTCTTCACCTGGAATTGAAACGTTATAACTCAATCACATATGCATCAATCCCGAACTTCTGCTCTATTTGGACCCCTTTCAAATTGATACTAAATATTTGCATGATTGTTTGTCCCTTCGTCCCTCCGTCCCTCCCTTGGTTTAACTATCTGGAGTTAGGTACCCACTAGTCCGACTAATCTAACTTATCCGGATGTGTGCCGCAGAAAGCCCACCATAGGGTTTTACTGCTCCCTAATTCTTCTCAACAAAACAAACAAAAAAGAATCCAACTTAACCATAGCTCAATACTACTATCAGGGTTTGCAAAAAAAAATTCATTAATACCAAAACAATTTGCAAAAGGTTCAGACTCCTGTATAATCCAAACCCCACAAGTTGTAATTCATCCCAATTTAAGATGAGATTTCTCATATATATCTGTTAACATATAACCCTAAGCAAAGAATAAAACGATTTTATATTAAAAAGGGAAGAGGAGAGGAAACAACAAACTAACCTGCAGGTGACAAATTTGCAACCTTCATTAAGTTCAACAAAGTGGCGACACTGAGGACACCTCTTCCACTTTTTACTCTTAGCAAGCACACGAAAAGCGATATCGTTTTCGTCCCTCAGTCCCCCACTCTCTTCACAGCGTAATCCAGCGTGCCATGGAAGCTTGCAGCGAAAGCAAAATAACCTCTTGCAATTAGGGCACTTCGATCGCTTTGCATTTTCACCACACTCGTTCAAAATCAAAGCCGAACAGTTCCTATTCGGACAATAACATTGCGCCAACCCTAAAACAGAGGACTCACCCAACACATCGCACCATTTAACAAACAGGTGAGGACCCAAAAGATTCCTACAAGAAATAGGGTCCAAAAACTGGCTACAATTCAGAGAGGGACATGGAATGTCGCCGATATTGTCCTCTAGCTTGACGGAAATGTATTTTTCAATACAGTCGATACAAAATGGATGAACACAACGATTTTGGTTCTTAAATTTTCTGTCGGGTAACGACATTGGCTCGATACAAATTTCACAGGTGAAATTTTGATGTTCATCTGGTAATTCTGTCACTGCAATTTCTTGTGCTTGATTAAGTTCTGAATTATTTCGGCCATATTTTAGCAGTATGTTTCCCATTATTAGTTTGAGTGGTGGGTGTGATTTTTTTTGTCACTTTGTGAGCGGGGGAAGTGGTGAAATGTTTCAGAGTCTTTTTAATATTCGTCTGAAAAATTTCCTCCACGTATGCTTATTTGAAATACGCCGTCTTCTCCAAGTTAGCCGGACTTTCTTGGAATATCGTAATAACAAATTTCTACTCTTATTAATAATTGTTATGCTAATTTAAATTTGTTATATACAATAACCTTACAAAAATTTCCGTAGGAAACCTAAAGATAGCGACTTATGGGTAAGCATCTTGGGATAGTTAATTCAGAGAAATAATGTTCAGCTTCTCGTCAGGATTATAAATATAAGCATTTTAATTGTGTGAAGTAATCGAGGCTTCTAGTCTTAGTAATAATAGTATTAGCAGGAGTCTTTCATAGTGAGTGTCAATATTTTTTCTCATTTTTTTTTTCATTTTCTTATGAAAAGATAATTTTTAAAAAATGGATGAAACATAGGAATGTAAAAAAAAAAATACCAACAAATTGTATCAAATTAATAAACCGAGTCAAATCGGAAAAATTCGCATTGTCTTTATCGATTATTTGTTGAAGAACACTTTAAAAGTGTTGGGTACAAGCGAACAATTGATATTGAGGGGCAGCAAATGTGGCTCAAAAAATGGACCCCTGACTTTAAACCCGAGGAAGACTCTCCAATTCTCCTGTATGGGTATTACTTCCTGGGCTACCTTATCAGTGCCATACTTGGAACTATGTGAAATAAGTTCTTGGTCCGGTTGAAACTCCTATCAGTATGGATATAGCCACAGACTATCGAACTCGACTGAGTATGGCTAAGGTTAGAGTTGAGGTTGACATTATAAAACCCAAGATAAACTCTGTATGGGTGGATCCGAAGAGGAAAAGAATCCATTAAAAGGATATACTCAGAAGCTGGAATATGAAAATGTTCCTAAATATTGTAGACATTGTAAGATTCTGGAACACTCAATAATCCAGTGCAGATTTGTTCAAACGAAGAATATAGCAGAAGTTAAAGAGGGACCAATATCAATAACAATGGCGACAGAATTGCAAGGAAAAAAATATCTCTGCGTCGCCTGAAGTATCAAATATATGGGAAGAAGGACGAACTAGCAACACAAGCAAAAAGATTGTATCTTTGAAGCGGAATGAAGAAGAACCTGCTACAACTAATGGAGAGAAAAAAAAAAGGAAGGAAAAAGAAAGAGGAACAAGAACAAGGAAACTCTAGAAGGAAACACAGTGGATGTGGTGGAGATAAAAAAATGACCTCATAACCAACAAAACCAAGACAAATGAAAGGAAGGTGAAGTGTTAGCAGATAGCAAGAATGGGGACAACAACATAAAAGTAAAAACTAGTACCAAGAAGAAAAAGAATAAAAATGCCAAAAAGACTCCAAAATAGGGAAAAGGTCACTTTGAGATTAGCAGAAACCAGCAAGGAAGAAATAAGAATGATGGTAGTACTATTAAACAACTGAATGGCCAAGAAGAATTATATGAAGAAAGTCTAAGTTCCATGGAAGTTGTGAATGAAAAGCATAGTTTGACAGGAGTGGTGGGAGTTAAGGAGAACCACATTCCTTCTTCCGCATATATTGAAGTATCTCAAGGAAAAAATAGGAATAAAGAGCAGCCAAATAAAGATAAAGAGTCAACGAAAGAGATGAGTTTACCATAGGATACACAAGGAAGTAGCAATGAGAGAGTTGAAGAATCTCACATAGAATCTTCAAGTCTGGGTACACAAATAAAAACTAGCGGGGATTAAACTTGGTAGTGGAACTATATAGTGAATAGATCAGAACACAGGGAACTCAGGAGTCAGAAGAAAATGATGATAAAGTTGACAATAGTCTTATAGAAACCTCTACATGTGAAATGATTCAAGAAAATGAGATAGAAGATCCAGCAAATACTCATATGAATGAAGTGATTGACAAAGGGTGTATGTCTCCTATAGAAATAGGTAGAATCAGAAGCAGACATAGAAAGACTGGAAAAAAAGACAGAAGCAAGAATAATCCTTCCTCTAAGGAAGGAGTGAAAATTGACATCCCTCAACATTGTCTTTATGATCAAAGCCATCTTCTGGAATATTAGAGGGGTGAGATCTAAAAAAGCTATACATTGGTTGAAGAAGCTCATCAATATCAATAAAGTTGATTTTGTGGCAGTTTTTGAACCTTTCATAAACAAAAATATAATAGATGGATATAGAAAGTTTCTTGGATTTAAGCATAGTATTTCTAATGATATCGGAAAAATATGGTGTTTCTGGTCTATTAACCTATTAACGATATCAACATATCACCCTTAGAATGGATGATGGTATGGGTAAACATAAGGTCTATATTTATGCCATTTATGCAAAATATACCTCTATTGAGAGGAAAGACCTCTCGTCTAGTCTAGAAAATTTAAGTTCTAGCATTAATGAGAGGAGACTTCAATGTGATTATGGAGCCAGAGGAAAAAATGGAGGGGGGTGTGAGCACGTGATTTTTGCCCTATATGAGAATCACTCCCAAAAAAAAATCAAAATAAAACAATTTTCCTTTGTATACAATTTTATATTTTTGTGGTATTTTGTATAATTATTTTTATCTGTGCATGTCTATTTGATAAATTAATAAAAAAATATCAAAAATATGTCGCATTTGCATTTAGGATTTAACTCTACAATTGTTAGTAATTAAGTTTGTTTTACAAAAATTAAAAAATTACAAAAATAGGCATCTTTTGCATTTTTAGCATTTAATGTCCAAATATACAATTTTATGCTTAATTACTACTTAATTATGCGTTAATTGTTATTGGGAATTAATTTGCGCTTTTATAACTTAACTTAGTTCTTAATAATAATTTAAGTATTTTTATAATTTAGTTCTAGAAAAATAAAAGAAGAAAAGAGCAAAAATACAAAGAAAAATCGGATTGNGTTTAAGCTTAATACAAGTTTAATTCGAATTTGAATAAAACTTGCTTGTTATTGTTGTTGAATCTTTTCATTTATGTTCATACTTTGTTTAATTGTTCTTGAATCCGAAATTAGTATAAGTTTGATTTTTCTTGTTTATTGTTCATCATTTATGATTATTTCTTGAGTTTGTCTCATAATCCTGTTTAAGTTTAATATAGGAATTATTGGTTGTAATGTTGTTAGAGTTGATTTTAAGTTCAAATGATTATTGAATTTAGAAATCTGAATGTACTTGTTTGTTGTTATTGTTGAATCTGAAAGTAGATTTGTTTGTTGCTAAAAATATTGTTCAATCAAAATTTTAGTTGTTCTTTGTTGTTCGATTTGTGTTCATGTGATATTGTTGTTGAATTGGTTTAGAAATCATGTTCATGTGATTTATTGTTTGAACATTGTTAGAAATTGGTCATATTCGTTATATTTTGGTTGAAATTGATTAAGTGAAGTGTTTATAGCTGATGGGGGTAGGTTGGTAATTTGCAGTACGTTCAGGGGGTAGTTTGGTAATTTCAGTAAGGACAGAGGGGTATTTTTGGAATTTAATTTCTGAATAATTATTTATTTTGAATGTTCTTTCCATTAAAATTAAGATAATATTAAAGTAATTAAGCATGGGGGACAAAATGTAATGGGTTGGGGTTTGATATAATTGTTTAATTTAATGGGGGACAAGACATAATGTAGTGGAGGGGAATATGGTAATTGTTTATGGTAGGCATGGGGGACAAAATATAATGGGGTGGGGTTGATATATTTATTTAATGTAATGGAGATGAGTGGGAAGAATAATGGGTTTGGTAGGAAAAAGTATTGATTTATTAGTTAATTAAAGGGTTTGGGAATGTGATATATATAGGAGGTCTTGGACAGATATAAAAAAACAGAGACAAAGAATAGAGAGAGAACAGATTAGAAAGGAAAAAAAAGAGCTGAACATTTATTCCGAAAAAACATTGAAACTCTCAAGAAAAGAAAAAACATACAAAGAAAAAAAAGTTGAACATTAGAAGAGGGAGTAGTACACACCTGATAAATATTCTGGTATACAGGTGTAGAAATTAAGGGTTGAAGATTAA